GAAACTAACGAATTCCATCGACTAATAGAGCGACAGTTTTGGAATATTACATCAATTGTGATTATGATAATTATAAACTAATACACACCGTTGGATTCAGAATAAGAAAAAAACGCTTTTATTAATCTAAGAATAAATCAAAATTTTTAAAAATTTCGAGCAGGAGGGTGGTAATTTTTGAAAAAAATTATTTTAAATTGTTTGACATTGGCTTATAGGCCTCTTAAAACAGTCCAAAGTTTATATAAACATTTTTTCGATATCTCTTATCGTTTTCAAGTTATAAACGCATAAGTAAACAGGGCGGCTCAGAGAAAAGGGGTAGTTTCTCCCTCAAAGTGAAAAACGGGCACGAACGAATTACACCTGTTTTCTTAGACAGGTTTAATAAATATTTATGCAATGTTTCATCGAAATCGGAATGTATCACTTGGCAAGCTTGGAAGCGGGGTTTGTATTTTATTTCCTAAGCTGTACAACACGAGTCTTCTCCTTGGTTACTACTACTTGACTAGCTCAAATGCACGTATTCATGCGGAACAGAAGGTCTAAAGTAAAATTAAAAGGTGCATACTTTTTAAATGATATTAATAATAATTGTAATTATATACCATAATATTACAAAAAATATAATTTAATACAAAGACGACTTATCAAAAACATGTCTTATTACTAACAAACATTTATGTTATATAATATATAATATATCATAGGTTAAATATAAAAGTAAACTCATAGAAAGTATTTCATAAACTGTCCTTAGTAATTGATATATGCATATATACTTAACTACTGCGAATTTATAGTAAATCTTCACAATTTTCGTCGCTAGTTCCTGAAGTGTGGCAAGGGTATCTTTGAATAGAAATTGTGTCGTAGGGTTTTGTCTGTTCCAAAACTACAACCTTTTCCGCATGTAGTTCTAAAAGTTCGTAAAAAGTGGAAAAAGACAATTTAATGAAAATGAGACTTACCTTAGAATCATTTATGTAACTTAAAAAGAATGTTTAAAAGGGCTCAAGTTAAATTTAACTATCAATTTTACTAACCCAAACAGTATAGGAACGCACGTGAGGCATCCAATTTGTTGTAATTGTTGGGTGAAATTATATCGTGAAATTTTGGTATGATCCTTTGATGCCAGTGGACTTCTAACAATGCTTGGAATTCTGCTTTTGTTAAAGATACCCTATAACTACAATAAAAAATGAAACATGTCTTATTTTGGAAACTACCAAGAGCAAAACTAATACACACTAATAATAGTTGTGCAAATATGTTTAGAAATACTTTAAATAATTATATTATAGGTTGTACAAAACTTATAAGAAACAAAGAATGCTGACCTAGAAATGGATCCTGATGTACTACTTGGTGGTTTTCTCCCATTTAATTGTATTTCCAATTCTTTGGTGGTTTCACTGGAAACATTAATGTTTAATGGATTTCGCAACATTTATTATACTTGAAACTAAATTTACTGAATGTTAAATATTAATTGTGATATGATGAGCAGACAAGCAAACCTCAAGCTCAGAAGAAATATCAATTGGACCCTAAATATCGCAATAAATTAACCAATACCTCTCTTTCTCTTCAAGAGCTGGAATTTCTGGAAATGTAACCTCTTCTGGAGGAACTCCAGTGATCTCCTCTTGCTGTTGCTCTCCGGGCACATATGCTGAGTGCGTAAGCGCGATAGGGAGGTTGTGCGGTAGTGAGGCTCGAGGTTGTGTTTTGTTTATTGTCTTAGAATGATCATTTGGCTCGATTATTGCAAGTTTACTCGATATTTCAACCTCTTGAATGTCCAATTTACTCGTCGGATCCGGACGTAGAGTTTCATTCACTGTGAAATAATAGTTACAGAAGTATTTGTTTCGTTTATAACGTATTAACGTACTTATTATTTACCACAAATTATCAGTAATAAATATTTGTTACTATTGAAACCGCGACAGCAATAAATCTCTAAAGTGAGATTATTTTATTAATTAAAATAAAAATCGTATTATGTTGCTCACGTTCTGTTTCGTCAATTTGAAGATTCGAAAATTCATTTTGGGTGACTGAAGGTATTACAAGATGACGTTCGAAAAGTTTGATCAAAATTTCTGCCCATGGTCTGTTTAAGAATTTTAATGCGGGCTGTGTTAAATATTTCTTAGCTGATAGAGCGTTATTAGGAATATGCGAATAATGTTCCTGAAAAATAATAAAATGGAAATTAAATACTTATTTGTATGCATCCTTAATAATTCAGTCATTTTAATAATTCATTAAGCAATCCAGTGATTTCAATTAATATCTTTTACATATACTCATTATAAAAACTTACCACTGTATGAATTGCAACATTTCCAATCGCGTTTCGTAATACGTTATTGCTTAACATAGTTTCTTTATCATAAAGTTTCTTTCTAATTCTTCTTTTTCTTGTATCCCCTGTTAATTCTACATGTTCATGGATAAAAGGTTGCAATTCAAGATCTGTTACTTGTATAGGTTCAAGCCTCTGTGCAATTACTTCTGCAGGTTGTAGTTCATCTACAAGTGGTACTTCCTGGTAAGTATGTGGAGGTGGAACTACTTCTCCAGATTGTAGTTCGTGTACATCTACAACTGGTACTTCCACAGATGTATGTGGAGGTGTAAGTTCTTTAGAACTAATCTGTAAAATGAAACATTAAAAATAATACCATGTTTTATTGACTTTAATATGAAAATTTTAAGGAAAGAAATAAATCAGTAAATATTTAAAATTGAAGACAGAGTAGAACAATTATGTAATAAAGAAAATGATTAAAAAATGAGTAATTGATGTTAAGAAAAAATTTGGTACAATTGCGACTCTCTTCTCAAGATACCTTTCTTTTCTTTGAAGGAGTTCCAGGAAGAGATTTTGAAGCCCTTTTTTTAGGAGTTCCAGGAATTGGTTTTTTGAATTGGTCATCTGAAAAACATTACTAATAGAAATAATATATATTAATAGAATATGATTAAGCTTGACGATATTCAAAGTTACCATGGATCACCAAAAACTCTCTTTGATCCTGATTAGGAAAACTATCTCCGTGACCTTTTTTAGATTCGATAAATTCGATGTCACGTATATCAACAATGCTATCATTAATTTGTTGTGACTGTCTCTGATCAATTTTTCGTATTTCGTTCCTAGTATAAATATATATACAAATAATTGTACAAATGTTAACAGAAAAATAAACAAGCAATTATAAAGTAATTTTAAAACTATAGGGATTCAAACTTGGTAGTTTATGAATGTAAAAGGATTTGGAGTTCTGGATACATGGGAAACTAACAGGAACTGGTCTTCTTCTTCAGGTAACATAAAATTCTCCAGGTCAAAATCAGTCATTACTCCGAAATTCGTTTCATCTTGTATCTACATTTGAATAACATTATTATCCAATTAAATTCAAGTGGATTATCAAAATACAAAGAAAGTATTTCCTATTAAATTTGTGTAATACGCGATACATCCAGTTATGATAACTTTATATCATAATAGTTTCATTTTACATTTGTGATTCATTTAGTTCATGACTTACTTAAATTTTAATTGAGTATTCTATTTGTTTAAATGATATCTTAACATAGTTTGATCATCCTTACCAAGTGGTTCATAACGAAAGAGTAAGGTTTTTCTGTGATGAGATGCAATTTTCGTGATACATGATCATTGATCATCTGCCTTGTAGGAGGATCATTTGGTTCATTTAAAGCCATTTCTAAAGTAAACTCATCATTATCCCTATAAAAAAGGATGTTATTTGTAATCCTGTCAATCTAGTAACAAATTTCGCTCTAATAAAAATAAAAATTTATATTTTTCAAATTACCAATATTTTTTCTAAACATTAAGGCTACCATAAAATTAGAAATGATTTTAAAGTAGAAGTCTACATATATAAACATATGATTTTTTAATTATTACCTTTTCTTATGTGACAAACTTGAGGCTTGTCCAAATAAAAAATCTGTAATAAAAAAGAAAAAAATAAATTTCCTTTATCTATAAAAAATAGAAAAAGAACAGTGGTTATTATTATTGGCATTACAAGGAATTACAATAAATTAAATCAAAACATTATTGACATACCCTTCTCACTGAAAAATATTATATTTATAATAATTCTTAAACTTGATATCTTTGTTTATTATTATTCTCTTAGTAAATATTACTTCTTCTTGGATGTAATTAAACTTAAAAAGATAGGAAAATTACCTTGAAGAAGTTGTGTTTGATAAAACAGTATTTTCGTCGCGCCGTACATTAACTGGGAGACAAGGTAAAGACTCATTCTGTAATGGATCCTGTCACCGCGTACCTCGATCGCTGACAAGATCTCCTCACTGGAAAAACAATAGAAGTAATTAATCCAAACAATCAAAAATGGAAATTACACTACGAACTATCATTATCGAACTCAAAATTCGAAAACAAGTGCGTATACACACACACACGTAGAAAAACGATATTACCAGAGATAAGCTACTTTAATGTTCTCAAGCGTCTTTTGATTTACAGTTTTTTTAAATATTTTCTCGCTGATAGTCGCGGCCAACCAGCATCGCGCAAATTTACCCCTTCGTCGAAGAGAGAGGAGCTCGTGTGAATAAAACATTGGAAAATTAAATGGTTAAATGAGAACACAAATAAAATGCGAATCGTTCTACCATCGAGTTTTGTTTCTTTCGGTTAAACCGTTAAAACGAACAAGAGTATCGTCGAGAAATCGATCAATCGATTATTGAAGGAGGTACGTCGATGCATTGGATGAATTCAAAAAGGCCGTCGGTGCGCAGGAGCCAGAGCCAAACTTCGAGTTGACTTCAGCGATAGTTGCGGAAAAAGTAGGAAACTCCGGGACAAGGACAGAGAGGGCGATACAACAATTGCAGGAGAGACGAGGACAGGACGATTAGACTAGCATGACTTTTTTCAAGGATAGCAAAGAAGCAATATCTTCTAATAATTCTGGTTTTAATACATTCGTTACACTTTGGCGGATGCGACTCCATGGCCTGATTTTGCCATTTCGGCCTTAAAACTTTATAAACAATAAAAGTACGTTTGCTATTTTCATTTTTTCAAGGACGTAAGTTGTGACGGAACAGAGTTCTACATTACCGACGTGATTCAACCGGAAAGCGTCATTCTAACCTCAAAAAATACCACGTGCTGCGGCAAAAGGAAAAATTAGGGTCATGAACAAAACCGAGGATTCCGAGGACGTATTGAATTCTACAATGGTTCACAAGACCCCATTCAATACAGTTTTGAGCAACTTTCTGGCACTTCTAGCAGCCAGTCTAATCAGCCGAACGCTGAATTTGTCCAGGCAATCAGGAGGCCTCAGCTCCCCACCTTCATGAAGGATGACCCGGACATCTGATTTTTTTATCATAGAAGCAGAATTTGCAGCAAGCAATATAAGGTCAGATCAAACTAAATATTCAGAAACCAAGTAGCCATAGTTTTTGTGCTAGTGGCGGAGTCTTATATGTCAATATTTTCCCATACGTACGCAGCGTGAGACAATGTTACACTTGTCTACAATTTGGACACCAAAAGAAAACATGTAGATATGAAGATAAACTATGCTTTGTATATGGACTTCAATATATTATATCAATATTATATTATATAATGTTGTTAAATAGTATATAATATCAATATAATATTGATTTCTATATACTCAAAGAGGGAATGGCGTTCCTATTGGTTCCTGTGTGGGGATTCGCCCTAAAGTATGTCGCTCCGCGCAGACGCGAATTTGAACGCGTATGCCGATGGCGTGGAGTGGGGACGGTGTGAAGAGTACAACGGATCAACGGACAACGGCCATGCGGCGGCCATTTCGTTCAGGGCCCAAGCACAGATGTGGGAAGTGAAACGCATTGAGCTCTATCCTAAGGATCTATCCTAGGATAGAGCTCAATGGTGAAACCACGTTTTTAGTTGGTGACACAAATCCAGGCGGCTCTAGTAGGCATCGCATACACATATCTAGCGTATCGGTGAGTACCACACTGGTATGAAAATTTCAGCGTCAGTGTCAGTTTCCGCCGGTACTCGTCGTCATTTAAAGTCCGCGAAAGCGAAACATTTGAATTACGAAGTAACAATCACTCACGTGGCGGCACATGAGGGGTCATTAAAACCTGTCCGTCACCATAAATGTGGTTGAGAATATCAAACTAACAACACATCTTGCATGTTTCGAACCCATTCATATCATTTCATACTTTTTAGTGTTTACTATGTTGTTTATGTTTTCTTAATATTATTTCTATGGATTTTATTGGTTTCATGACACATATTTTTATTTAAATAATTTATCTTACAGTATACAATGTTGTATGGTAACCTTGTAATTGCCACAGTCATAGTGATATATAAAAGGGATCAATATCGATTTGTATCACTAAAAAAGATAAATTACATGTACTTCTTATTAATACTAAATTAAATTCAATAAATTAGTGTTATAATTATAAATTATTTCGAACCAATCTTTAAAAGATATTTAAAAATTACGAGAACCATAATTTTGTTTATATTATAAATTTCACTGTCTGATAACAAAGTATTGTATTCTTAAATTATTCACATGTATGAAAAGTAACTTATATACAGAGTATGAAATACAATCGATTTCAATTAATTGGGACGCACTAGGACCAGAACAATGTTATATAAGTAAATGTTCGATTTTATTCTTTAAGATTTATCTTAATTATATGGCTTATCCAATTAACGGATCGCCCAAATCAGAATTCACTGTATTTACAATATTTCAACGTATTTAGAATAAAATAATCACTAACTAATAGATTTAACACATAATTATGATGGTCACATTTGTTAAAAAAAAGTTGAGTCAAAAATAAATTGATGGTTTTTACAAAATTCAATTTTACATTTTTTAATAAATATGAGTGTACTATTGATGTACAATGTTTTAAAAATTGTGTAATATTTCTCTATATAATAAAGAAAAGTGATTAAAAATAAAAAGTCAATTATTTTCTGAGTTTAGAAAAATATAAATACATTAAATAGAAAAGCGGATTTTCTATGATAATAAATTATTTTTCCAATTTACTCCATACTTCTGGACTTAAATCCAGTGCTCAACTATCTCACGAAGATATCAATATTAAATGCTAATATTTTTAAAATATTTACTAATAAATGAGTACTCACAAATAAAATACAGGTTGACGAAATTTTTACAGAGATAAAGATTCTTGTAATTAAAATATATCTTAGACAGAAAATACTGAGCTAGATCTGCTCTATTATTTACGAAAGTTAGCTAACGAATTAATACGATAATCATCTATTACCGCTTGTTGACATAATTAGTAACACTGTTCTTAACACACTGTACACTGCTCATGAAAATGTTTGCCATACTTTATCTTCACATTTGTTTATATGAAAATATTTATATTTCATGGTTTTTTTTTAAAGTCCTGTTTGTCGACTACTAGTCGTAATAATATATCGTCCTCAAATGTGTTAACTCATGTGTAGCAATTCATTATCGTACTAAAATAACTAAGAACAAAATGAATACCTGCTAATATGCATTACAAAGAGTTTCTTTGAATTTAAGTATGTTTAACATTGTAGATTGAATAATGTGTAAAGATAACAAGCAGATTGTATGTGCCTGAATAGATACACAGTGTGTTAAATAATGTTACAGATAACTAAATTAGTTAAAATTTGAAAAATCCGTTTTCAGCTTAATGGATGGTGTAGAGATTTTAATTTGTGGTTTTACGAGATCTACTGTTCGAGTGTGCCTTTGTGCTTGCTGATGAGAGGATCTCACGGCATTTTCTAGCTTAGTCTTCAGTTCTGTAGATTGCGACATCAATGTTTTAAATTCCTAAAATAAGAAATAAATACTTTAGAATGTCAATACATAGTCTTGTACATACATAAAGATAATTATTTGAATAATGCAATTAATACCTGAGGATACTTTGGTCCTATCTTGTTAAGCCATTGAAAGCTCTGTTGGTGAAGATTTAATTGATATTTGGAAGCATGTTGAAGTTGATCTCCCTCCAATAAATAATTAATTAGGATTGGCACAAGTAAAGTCAGCATCTGTATACCTAATTATTTATAAACAAGAAAATTGAAATATATTTGATAAGATTTGATACTAATATTCTTTACATTGTCTACTATGACGTATGATTTCGACAAGTTTTTTAGTTTAAAAAATTTTTTAAATTTCGTTATGTTCGATTTTCAAATACCGATGAAGCTCGCCAATTTGTTTTCTCGCGTCTAATGTAATAATAGAAAATATTTTTTCAAAGCTTACTTTATGTTTTATTCATAGAAATAAAATTCATTTGTATTAGACATATAATATTATTATACAAAATTCATAAACATGTCCTATTTAGACATCGCTAAGGTAGTGAAACTTCTTACAAATTCTGAGTATATATTACTATTATTTACACACCTTGTAACAGATCTCCTGCTTTGCATGTAACATAGTTTTAATGACAACGTTAATTTAATTCCAATGAACTAGTTATTCTTAGTATATAGTTTATCAAGTAAAAAATACGGTAAAAACGTAATATGGATTATTACATACGGTGAGAAAGATCGGCAAGTCCTATAAGAGCTTCTACGGTGCTGATACATTCCAAGGTGAAAGCCAACTCTAAATCATTTGTAACTTGTTTACTTTTATCACTGTAGAGATATTCTACTAATCTTGGCGCTAATGCATGGATATATGGTGTACTTATTGTACGTTCTGGATGTAAAAATATGTTTCTCAAAGTTTGAACACATTTGAATTTTATCTGAAACATTTAAGTATATAAATAAATTATAAGAATCATTTCAAGACACTACTAAAATGCCGCAAATCATACCATTGTGTTTTCCGATTGAAATGCATGTCTGAAGTGATTGATACAAGGGAACTGTAGGTTTGGTGCACTTAAAACTTCTAAAGAAGCATGAAGAACAAATACCGCAATACCTAATATCATTGCTACCTCATCCATTTTTGCTTCGTCATTTCCTATGAACATATTATACATAATATACTTACTGATAAATAAATAACATTTGCATAATTGGAATTAAATAATAACAGCAATAGCCTAGTAGATAACATACATTAATTGCTTGTTCGAACTAGCGTCATTATTTCATTATATCGATATTTACATATTTTCACACTAAGTTTCATGTGTTATTCATTTTATTTGTACCTGTTTTAGCAAGATCGATGATCTTAGCAAGAGCACTTTGCAAAAGACTAGTCCACTGTTCTTGACTTCTGTGATCCTTAGCATACTTATTTGTTGTAAGGTTCTTCATGCAGTGCAAAGCTGCATGAACTGGTATATCTGATCCTGTTTTATTGCATTCATTGTCAGTCCGTACCGCAGTTTCTCTTATTACTCCAGTTGCAAGATATAACAATGTTGGCAAAATTGCCACAGCCCCTGAAAGTGAGTACAATATATACATTAGCCTATATTTGAAATGGCGTATACTTCAATTTAATTAAAAGAAAATATTTACCTTGAGGAGAGCAAAGAGTAGGCAGAGATTCCATTATATTAAGCGCAGCTGCTATGAGCTTTCCATTTTCTTCGGATGGCATGTAACCTCTTTGAGATAAAATTGCTGTTGTTCCGCCAGGATTTGGATTCAATGCTGGTATTTGCCGAACCAAAAGGCACAAACACACTTCTAGAATTGCAAATACCAATGATTTACCTGGCACGAGCTCACCACTTTCTTCACCTTCCCCTAATAGATCTACTTCTTGAGTTTCGTTACTTTCTTCGTGTGCTGGTGCTATTTCTGCCATAATACCATGCGCATATATAAATTAGTATATGCCCAATTTAGGAATGAACAATTGGTAGTTATTTACTCAAATACTTTCTTAAATACATTTTGTCCAATCTAGTGTAATTATTATTATTCATGAAAAACAAAATACGTTATGTTTTACCTTTTAGTTTAGTTTTCTTTCTTTCTGCCAGATCTTCCTGTGCTGCTTTCATTACTTGTTTTAAAACTTCCATTACTACCATTTGAATTACATAACTTTCTCTAGTTAATAGCATTCTGAAACAATAAAACGTGAAATATACACAAATTTAATGTATAATGTATTTGTTAAAATATACCTGTGTAGGACATTACACAATTCAATTGGTAACGAACGATCTGTAATCAGTACTTTACGAGCCCACGCTGAATTTAATAAAGTGTACAAAGCGTTTAAACATGTTTCTATATTCTGAGTGGATTCTGAAGATCGAGGACTGCATAAAGCTTCCATGCATATACCTAAAACATTCGATAAATATGTAGCACAAAGTAATATCTATTATCATAAAAAAAAAAACTATTATTTACCGAACAGTAAATGAAATCGTTCAACATTAGTATTAGTTTTAGGGGAGACATTATTGTTGTTGTTGTTGTTATTATTGGTCGCATTTGATGTTTGTACTTCATTCTTAGTTTCTTCTAGTCCGAAACCTTTCGCATTCAGCCAGAGTGTTGCAGCATGTAGGATTGGTGCCCACGATTCTGCATAATGAGGTCGAGCAGATTCCATTGTGTCTGTTGTATAAAAAGCACCCCCATCATGTGGTAATTGACTGGAAAATTCTAATAACACAAGAAATTAGTTTATTATTAATTATTTATTAATATACAAAACTAACTGTACCTGGCGGTAAAGAAAGTAGAGCATGATCTCTCAAAGCAGCTAACCAGTACTGGCTCAAACTTAACAATTCTGGTTGCACCAAACTTAATAAACTTTCAGTTTGGAATTCAAATTTCCCAAAGTCTTCATCGTTCCCATCATTGAGTTGATTTGTATTTTGATTGAATGCGTCTTTACTGTTTAACGCAGCACCATCTCTTATCATAGCAACTACATATACCTAAAACATATACATAAAGGTAAAGCATACATAAAGTAAACCAATCGTTATATTATTTCATTCATATTATAGCATTTTCACCATTAAACGTTTATTGTATATTTGTATTTTACCTCTGCCCAAGCTTTTAAAATCGCTAATCTTTCGAGTGTCAGCAAACTTTCATTATAAAGCTGCGGTCGTGTATGTCCCTCTCTCAATTTTTCTAAAGAGGATACAAGTAATTGATGTACTCTACGAAGATCATTGAGATCTCTGGCAACTCCACTTCCAATCCAAGCACTACACGCTTGACAAGCTGCAGCTGTAACATGTGACGCTGTTTCCGTAGCAAATGCGGGTCTCAACGCAGCTCCCACCTATAAATATTCAATGATTAAATAAGGATATGAAATACTTTTGAAACATTTATTAATACGTATGTAATTTATAAATTACTTGTGCTTGAAACTGCTCAAGTAATAAGTGCCCAGGAAATTCTGGCTCAGGAACGTTTGCAAATTTATCTATAATCTCCTGAAGTGTTTTCAGGCCCTCAAGACGCAATGGATCGCAATCACTGGTCGCGGCCATAAATGCCATTCGCACTAAATCGGAAAGATGCAATACTAAGAAATCACCTAAAATTGGAAGAAATTTATAAACATTAAACAAAAGAAATACCTAAAGAATGTAGACCAAAAATAAATAGAACCAAATAAACCATACTTTTTCCTTTAGACAATTGGATCTCCTTAGCTAAGGCGAGATCGAAATGTGCTTGTTTATTATTTACACAAGCAGCAACAATTCTTCTAACAGATTGTGCAGCGAAAACTCTAGTTGGCCACCGTGGAGTGATAGCAGGTCGTTGTTTCGTAGATTCATCGGCATGAAATTCGGCTTGATCATCGTCTCCTTCTGCGTCTGCATTATCATTATCGACGGCACTATCTTCAACGTTGATGGCGTTTCCTTCTTCGTTAGTACACGTTTCTATACGATAAAATATAAGAATTTTATAATCTTATTTAATTTGACGTTTACATAATTTTGTTACCGCATTATTCTATACCTGAAGCTATAGTAAGAACGTCTTTACACAGAGATAACCATTGAGATAAATTATCTGCTGCTAGAATTTGCAGCATACTGGTCAATGTATCATGGATATCCTTTATCAATTTACTATCAGTTTCTGTGTCCAACATACTGAACAAAACACCAGGAAGACCAGTTTCTGTTATGACAAGACCTTCAACTACATTGGTGTCCCGACTTTCATTAGCTAATGTCATTGCATGTTCGCATACTTCTTTCGCTTCTCGTTGAGCAAGTTGACGAAGACAAGATATTGCGGCTTTGCGTAAAAGCAGATGATTGCTCGATAAAGTTCGCTATGAATAAAATAATATAAATATAAAAAATACCAATATTAGTATTGTTTGCATTGTATCATATAATACTTACGCATAATGTAGGAACGAGAGACGACAAATTAACGTGTCTGGGCGCAAATAAATGTAACTGTTGGAGGCATCCTGTAGCTTCTGCTTGCACAAGAGGATCTTGATGGTCTTGCATAATGGCGCACGCACACAAAAATGATGATCGTGCCATACAAATTGTCGATGTGTTACCTGAAAATTAAAATATATTGTTTTTTGTATTTAACAATCGAGTTATATGTACATTAACAAGTATTGTTGATAAATAAACTATGTAGAACTATGTAACTATGTAAAACTCACCTTGTAACTCTGGTCCTATTGTTGTTATAAGTGCTGACAGTACTTTCCCTATACATTGATGTACATCAATATAGGAATGAGGAACATTTAGAAGAAGAGTTAATGCTAAAGACAATGTAGGTTCAACGTAGCCCCGAAACATTGGTCCACCAGAATCAGCTATAAGTGCAAGAGCATGTAACGCCCATACCTAGATAGGAGGATAACATTACATCCTTCTGACCGTAAACAATTATTAAAATAGCATTGGAGTGCATACATGTGTGAACAGGACATATATTATATATGTATTTATACACGATCTTACTTGTACCACAGGAGACGAATTATCTTGGGCAAGTGCAAGTAGAATACTGACACTTGTGTTGAGGTGTTGACTAGATCCCATCCCACCCACGTATTTATGAAGACATCCCAACGCTAAAGAATGACCAGTTCTGCTCGCAACATCGCGAGCAGATTTTAAACGGTCAAAACTCGTTTGCGCCAATTCTGCTGTAAACTTTGGATCAGAAATAACTTGAGCCATTCTTCCAACAGCTTCTCCTGCTGCCCATCTTAGTATCGAATTACTGCTCACTAAAGCGCTCTGTAATATAAACAATAATATTAAATAGTATTAAACGTTCAATAGAAGTTGAATGTTGAGAAAAGAACTTTTAAACTTTACAGTGTATAGTATGTATAGCTAATAAGAGAAACATAGCACATTCTTACAATAATGAGATTAGTGGCAGACTTTTTTACATCCTCCTGACCAAATCCAGTTTTTGCTTCATTGAGACCCTTCAAGCCGCTTAGTACAGCCGTAAAAACGTTCATTTGTATTGCTTCCTGCCTACCAGATTTCGTATGTTTTATGCACTCGCCGAAGTGATCTAACATTTGTAATCTATGTTTGTTCGCTACACGTGGAAAAATTTGACCAAACAATGACACTGATAGATCAATAACAGCAACTCCCAAAGGTAAAGGACCAGGAATTATTTCATCCTAGAAGCAAAATTATTCGAATTGAATCTTTATGATTTTGTTTTAATATGACTCTAACAATGTTTTGGAATATTTACATGTGGCACTGGTCTATAGAGACAACATGGATTGTGTTCCAAAGCTCCAGAACCTGCAGCACTGTTGGGTTGCAACTGAAATTAATATAGAATATATAATAAATCATTTCTCATAAGCAATACGAAGTAAACAAGCATAAATGTTGATACCATCACAGTCTAAAAATAAAATTAATTAACCAAAACTTTGTATTGTAAACTAAAAATAACTTCATAATTTGAATTGCGTAAAACAAATAAAAATGAAAGCAAAACATAGTGTAACGAGTACTTAGAAAAGTAAAGAATAAATTAAAATAATCGGTTTTAATACTACTTTTCACTATTTCATAAGTAAATTTACAAATATTCCTGTAACACTTAAAGAAAGTATACAGAAAAAGTATTAAAAAGTAATGAAAGGCACCATAGAACATTACTCACATGTTCCAAATCTGCCCTTCTGTTCGGTTCCATCTAGACACGAGTGTAAATATTATACATTAACTTCAAACAATGTAACATATGACATGTTGACGTACACTCTTTACAATACGTCTGCTTTAGTTATTTGATTATGTTTTAATATCAATACATGATTACAAAATATACTTTTATAATATTATACATAGTTCAAATGCTTACTTGATCTTCTATTGTACGGTGGTCAGTTTCTTGTAGCCATGTACCAAGAATGACAGAATCATTGGCATGACAAACTGCACGTAATAATGACGTTGTAGTATTTCCAGGATTTTCGGTCAATGTAAATTCTGATACCAACATTCTTAGAAGATGCGTATATGAACCTATTTAATTCATACATTCAAATATTAACATATAACGTCACAAAGTAAATGGTTTTTAAAATCATAAATAATTTATAATTATAATTTATACCTTCAAATGTTTGAGGTGGTAGTAACAACAATGTTTCATATAAACGCAAACGAACCATTGCAGCTGGAGCTTTCAGTTGTTGTCCGTAATTTTTCAATACAGGTGACAAACTAAAATAATATTTTTAGATGTATACTATAATAACGTAACGCTGTTAAGTACTAGCTACATATAAAAATGTAGTAATTACATACTTAGTTAACATTGCCAGTGCAGACTCAATCGGTGTCAGAAGTCGTCTCGTAATGTCATCGTTTAAAAGCTCTGGACAATGCAATAGAAAACTGTGCATTGCTGATAATGCACCAGCTCGACCTTCCAAGGTTACTTGCCAAGTAAAAGCATCACCTCTGGCTTTTTCACTCTCAAGTTCTTTGTTTGAACGAGGGAACGAATTTCTCCAGAGTAGTAGCATTCTAGGTAGTAATCCTTTCACTACAGCCGTACCTGAATAATTAAATTATTATTTCCTTATAATTTATTACGTTTATAACTATTGTGTGTGATAAACTTAAACTGTTAATATCATACCAAGAGTCATTATAGCTCCAATTAAAAGCCATCCAGCGTGTGTTCGATTCAGCGATAAACGACTATTTTGGCTTGCGCTCCGCAGAAGTTCCTCAGCAGTATTAAAAATTATCTACAAACGGAAATGGATAATTTTAACTTAATCACATAATAGTATTTACTTCGTGATTACTTTATAGTATATAATTTTATACACAATTTTAAGAGTCTCTAAAATAATTACTTTTCCTTTCGTATGGGGAACTCCAAGTGGTGATAAACGGACACTACCAAGTACTGCAGCTAAAGCACTGCTATATCCAGCTATTGCTTCTGGTGAGCTACGCATATTTTCAATTCCATCCACACAACGATCAATCAAAGGTGTTATTTGATTTGGAGCCGCTACACAAATACAGCGTAAACACCAAGAAGCTGCAAGTCGGGCTGCTTGACACGGATGAACCAGAACAGCCATAATTGTGTCGATTAAACCTGAGACATTATAATGGTTAGTACAATTACTGATAATTAAATAATTACATATAAATTGTAAATTTGAAGTACATACTTAAAGATTGATCGGACAATAAATTACAAGCTGTTGTACCCAACCCTAAGATTAAGTTCCCCATTTCTTGCAATGCACAAACTAATAAATGTTGACTAAATAATGTTTCCTGGTTACAATCCTTAGCATTTTCTGGACTAAAATCTAAAAGATTGAAGGTAAAAGTTAACACAAGTTAATACAAGAACGATTTATAAAAATACTGTGACAAGAAAAATTAACAAGTTTACCAATAGAATTCATTTGTTTCAAAATAATGTGTGCTATTTCCTTGCATGCAGCAGCTTGAGCTCCTTCACCCAATAACTTTCCGATAGTGCCATGTAATATAAAATTGACACACTTTCTAGAGTAGACAGCATCAACATGGGAACTAGCAGCTTTTGGATTAGTTACAAGATCAAGTACATGGGCAACTAATGAACCAACATTACGTTCAAGCCATGAACCTCCCAGCATTTGAACAAATACTACATATGCCTGCAAAATGTTAATAACGTAAATAATTGATCATAAAATTCTGTATAAAATATGTATATATTCTGTATATAATTATCCTTACATGTGTGACTCCAACTCGAACGTCTCTGTTCACACTAGAGTTTCCTTTTATGATTTCTCCAGTACCTTTTAAAAAACCTACTCCACCCCTTAAAAATCCAGACATTAAAATATTCAGTACTTCGTCGAGTGAAATTTGTTTATAACCTTTGCTCTGTGTCACTAAATAAAAATCATGGTTAACTTAAGTATGTTTTGTCCATAACAAATAATTAAACATGTCTATTCTACATACCTGAAGGATTTTTCCCTTTTGGTGCTGGAAGTTGAGTCATTGCCACTAATGTACCTAATAATTTTGCAATTGCACATCTTACTTCATAATTTGAACCCTCAAATGCTCGAAAGCAAAGTGTTGCAACACTTTCTATTTCAGTTGTATATAAAAATGGAGCATGATTTAACATTTCCAGTAAACACTGTAAATATTACAAGAAACATATTTTCAATAATGCATATACAAAGTGTTAAAAAAGTAAATAATAAAGTACCTTTGCAGCAGCACACCTTACAGCCATTACTCTGTCTGTAAGATAATGTCTAGAAACTTTATATATTTCTTTATGAACATTTGTAATCGCAGATCCCATTCCAGCACATACCTAGTAAATTGAATTTTGTACAATATGCAAGAAATAACCGTGCATTTTGTCTAATGAAAAATATTACCTTTTCAAGAGTGTGCATAATTTCTATTCGAGTTTGGGATTCCCCAGAACGTAAAGATTTTATCAGAATCTGTACAGTTTCTTCATATGACCTACCCATCATCCTTCCTAATTTTTCATACATACATCCTACACAGCATATAGCAGCTCTATAAATAGTTGGAAATCGAATACAGATGTATTGAGTTGTGCCATGTATAGAAATGGAATGAATTATAAGAGTAAAACAGTATTTTCATTATTAATAATAAATAAATGTGTCAAGGAATACTTACAATTTTGTTGGAAGGAAACTTGGTGAATCATCCTTATTTCTAAGAATATCATTGCATTTATTGACAGTATCAAAAAGCAAAAATGTATCACCAACACTGAATAAAGTGGCAAGACATCTTGCAATAAGTCGTCGTGTAGGAGGACCAGGTGCTCCTTGCATGTGCTTAGTTAATTGTTCCACTAATTTTTGCTGGCATCCTTTAATATCACTCTGAAAATATTATATAATTCCAAGATAAAAATTCCAAGAAAAAAACATATTGTAGTGGATAAATATGATATGAATAAATCAAATAAATAATACCTTTTGTGCAGCTATTAAAACCTTATCCAAAAACCGTAACCATTCAAATATAAAAACTGGTCGTTTAGCCTCAGGGATTTGATTAAGGGCATCCTCATTGAGGGTCAAACTATGACTCAACTCCATCATCATTTCAATAAATTAGATTATAAACACCTTTATGTTTTTCACTGCTGATCTGTAACAAAATTACAATAATTTAGTTTTCACCATTCAACATCTTGGATGCAATTAACTACAATACGATAATTTAATTTCTAATTATAGAGCCAAATATAAATTCGGACATCTCCAATAGACTGACAACTTAAAATATACATATGTTTTTCTTTCTGAAGATGTTAAAAGATCTTATTGATTCTACACGAATTAATAGCGTTAACAAAATTATAGAACAGTAAATGATGAAATACCACAAACACTTCCGGTATTATCAGTAGATAATAAGTAACATAATTTTTCCCTTTCTTTTGTTATCTATTCACACAAAATCATTCCATTTCATTAACGTAAAGCTATGTAAATACATAACTATTGATATTTTCCACTCAACAATTGTACTATGTAAAGTGAATCACTTTATCAACAGCTTGTCATCGCTTTTTAATAACAGCATGGATTATTGAAATAACGATTTACTTTTTCCGCGTAACACAGATATTTTAACTTGATTTAGGTTAGGGTGGATCGGTAATCACCTGGATGAGAAGCGTCGACAATGAATCATTGAGACCACCTACTCGCTGTGACTTTATTGCACCCACACATTTTAATATTTTTCCAATATTCCAAAGAACGTCATCAATTAAATGAAAAAAATAAATGACAATTAAGTAAAAAAGGTTATCAAGATTTTATTTTGTAGTATAGCAGGTTTTGATTTTGCAATAAAACATATTGTAGAATTTTAACAACCACTGTCAAATCGATACAAAAATTATTAAGTCGGAACGTTATGCAAATACTTTCGTAAGAAAATACATCACTATTTACAAAATCACTAATTTGTTCTTTATTTATATGAGATGCAGTCATGTTTATAAACACTGCGTTTGGATTCAAGAATCAGGCAAACGCAAGTGTGTACGGATTCTTAGCTTGTATGTGTGTATGTGTATATGTAATCCTTATTCACCTTTCACTGAAGAATATCTAAAAATTATTCAATTTTTAATCCGTACCTTCGTACTTTTTTTTACAGATTTTAGTTAAAAAAAAAAATCTCAAGGCAAGCTTCATATCTCGTTAAAAAAACACGAAATAACAAAAAACTAATTAGTATACTGTGGTATACTGTCCTCTCTCCGCCCTTCATAATAAATAATTTACGAGTAATTTGTCATAGTCAACATTGGTATTTCATACTGCGTATAATTTTTTTTAAGATTCCTTGGACGTGTTTATTATTCAAAACTTCTCACTCGAGCAATTAATCTGTTTTAAATTCGTACTATCGTTTAATTTACATATACTTGATTGGAATATTTGAATTAATGTATTCACTTATATTATTCATCAAGTCGTTTACAATGTATGTAAACGTTTGGATAAGTAATTGGGAAATTATATATTCGTGTTTCAACATTCCAGCGAACATTTGAGGTTTCAATTGTAATTCGAATGAAAATAGAAATGAGAGGACTGAAGTGAAAATGAAAGAAAAATGTCAGAAAACTGAAAGGAATGTGAAGAGGTGGGATGAATAGAAGATTGCGGGGGGGGGGGGGGAGAGATAACAAAAGGAAAATGAAGATAAAACGATGATGTCAGGGTGATAAAAAAAATGATGTGAAACAGAAATAAGGCTGAAGGAGAAATGGTGGGAAGTTGAAAGGGAAATGAGTGGAAAATGAGAAAGAGCGAGGAGGAAGGGGGAAGGAGGAAAGGAAGGAATGAAAGAAAAAATAAATGTATGAATGAAATGATTGAAATGAGTTTTTAATAAGTTGAACTTTAATGACTAATGACTAATGACTAATGACGAGCGTTTTATCAAATTCACTACAAAGCATTGACGCATATGTGAAGCAGAGTGCGCCACGTTCAGTTCTCAGGTTCTGAGTCGGTAATACAGTTTCGCACAAAGCCCCTTAAGATGCAATATTTGTACAGCATGAATGAAATTTTAAAAAAGTCCTATTGGCGCCTATTACACTGTTATATCTCTGAAATTAGATGAAGAAAGGGCAAATCAGTTTAGCAACATAATAAGTTCCCTTTTCCAATATTTGTTACAAAAATATTGTGAGAAAAACGTTGTTAACAGTTTACTAACTTTACAGAGAAAATCAACAGACATAAATCAAATTGATCGTCAAAAAAAATTAAAAAATAATTCTATAATATTATTAAGACAATTTCCGTTATCAACTCGAACAAAATGTTTGTTACTTAATGAAACCTTTAGGAATGTTAATGAGAAACATCATATATCCTCATGCCTTCCGCATAGTTGTAACACAGTTCCATTAAACAAATTCATTCCAAGGTAACTTTACCTCAGATCAATCGTACGTCTGTTATTTTAACCAACACTTTGTTCGATGTAAAAACAGCACCGCGTCTGCGATTGTATGTTTTATTCAATCACGATCACGCACTGTTTACGAACTGTCTAAGAAAAATTGCAGTCACTTCTTGCATTTCTCATGGAAACTAATTAACGTAACAAGCACATAACACGCATTTGCACAATTTTTCAAAATTTTGAAGATTTACGATTACCAGGGAATTCATACGAAGGAAGAATCAAATATGATTTCACTCGTGTAAATATATATATATACTATATCAATACCGACACAAGCTACTTAAAAAAAAAATTAAATTGACCAGTAGAAACGAATTATAAATAAAATAGATACGATGCGATCGACGATTCGCGCGATAATGCCCAATCAATGATGAAAGATATCAAAGTGCAAATTAGTAATTATGCAAATTGTATCTAGTATGTGATAATTACACCTTTTTCTCGTAATTCATTATCGTTCCTAGTCTGCAAACGTGCATATGTCCTTAGAAATGGGCTGACAATGTAAAACAGAAAAAAAAAGTAAATTTAATTCTTGAAGTAGGACTTTCGGTCCTCAGGTTGTATATATATATATATTTCGTGACCCAAAGAAAAAGGAAAAAAGCACGATGAGGAAAGTAGGAGCGAATATAACTCAACTGCTACTAACAAGGTGTAACCATAGTGTAGCTTTCGCATAAAACAGTGAATCTCATTTAAGGGACGCGTGGTTATTCCACTTCTTGGAACAGGCAGGGGAGTTCCCCACGACATCCAAGATGCATTGCATGAACCCAAACAGACTGGTTTTAGACAGGATTCACTAGAAATTAGCAGACCAGATGTTAGATGGTATCGTACTTGAAACCGATGGTACATGAACCTTTTCTCAGCCCTCGTTACACTTGACAAACTACAATGAGTAGTAATACAGGTTGCGGCAGAAATAATTTCCATATTTTAAAAAGCGATTGTAAAAAAGTGGTACGAGATACCACCAGAAACTTGTTATCTCTTAAATCTAGATATAAAAAAGTTTTCAAACATCGTTCTTGGTCCTTGAATGAACTAAAGGAGACCATCCAAGAGGAAATTGAAAGAATTTACCCCGAAATGCTAGCGAGAGTGATGGAAAACTTTCAAGAACGACTCCAAATGTGTATCGCCCGTGAAGGCCACCGTTTGAACGACATCATTTTTAAAACA